TTCAGCATACTTTGTCTTCTTTCAATTGCACTTGTTCATGGAATCAAATAACTTCATAACTGAAAATATATCTTGAAAAAATATTAGTATCATCCATTTGTTTTGTAAACATCAAAAGATAGGAATCAAGATCAACATTCTCCCCCTTTTTGATAATGACAAAACAATGGATGGAAGGAAGGAAAAAGATTGAGCATATGAGCATAAACTCTCCGTCACTCATGGCAACCAAACTTATAATTTCAGAATAACTCCCCCTAACACATAGCATCCATTTCTCCCCCTTTTTGTCATCATAAGATGAGAGTAAAAATCAACTACCAAAAACCAGCAACAGTAACAAAGAATCCAATATTCCAAGTAAAAACAGAGAAATGACAGCAATAACTATCATATCACAGAGAATTGATATCAAAAGGAGTATCAAAAAGAGAAATAACAATCAAAATAATTATCAGACCAAATCATCATTAGATCAGAATTGTTCTTTACTTTCCCTTTTTGACATCATACAGATTCAGTAATATTCAAAAAATCAAGAAAAATCCAGTTCAAAACATCAGAGAATTACAAAAAGCATTATGAACAAGAATCTCTTCATTCTTACCAAAATCTCCTATTTGTTAGAGTTATCATGTCTAATTCATGCTTTTTTTTATATTCTTTCTCACATAGCAATCACTTTTCATGTGACCATTTTGACAACAGAAATTACACATAATCAAGGAGTTATTTACATGAACAGGTTTAATAAATCTTACTTGTCTTCTCCTATGGATAGCAAATTCATTTGCAGCAGAATTTATCTTAAAATGGAGTTTTGATTTATTGCTTTGAAAGCAGTCTTGTTTTTTATGTTGGAGCAACTCATTTAAATTATCCATTCTTCTTATCAAATCATCTTGTTCCTTTTTGAATATTTCACAAAGTTTTGTTTTTCTATCAAGTTCAAAGTATAAAGCATTCTCACTCTTTTTTAAGAAATCACTTTCAGTTTTCAGGTTTTTGTTTTCTTGAAAAAGACGTGCATTGTCCTGAAGAAGAAAACTAATTTTATGTTTTAATTCCTTGTTTCTATCATAAGATTCTTTCAAACTATCATGCAATTTTATAATGAAATATTCAAGATCATAATCACTTTCAAATTGAGAGATAGAAGATGTTACCTCATCATCTCCAATGGCCATAAAAGCCAATTGAGCAGATTCTTCATCCTCTTCAATTTCACCATCGGAGTTGCATTCATTCCATGTGAACTGAAAATTGTTGAATTTTGGTTTTCTTTCACTTTTCCTCTTCTTCATTGGACGTTCACTTGCATAGTGTCCAGGTTGGTCGCATTCAAAACACTTATCAGTTTGCTTTTTGTTGAACTCTAACTTCCCTTTGTTTCTCAGGTTGTTGAACTGATTTGGGAGTGAATTGCTAGGTCCACCTTTTCTGAATCTCCTCTTGTTGAGTATTCGTTTGAACCTTCTTGTGATGAGTGTGATATCATTGTCATCACCTTCTGCATCATCTTCATATAGGGAGGCAGAATTATCTTCATCTTGAGATGCCTTTAGAGCAATGCTCCTTCTTACTTTCGCATTCTCATCCTCTTGCATTTTGGACTTAAGTTTCAGCTCATAAGATATTAGAGAATTAATAAGAGATTCAGTAGGCATGGTATTCAAATCTTTAGACTCAATAGCAGTCACTTTATTTTCCCAATCATTGGACAAGGCATTTAGGATTTTTTTATTTTTCTCACCAAGAGAATATTCTTTTTCCAGCACCTCCAAATCCTTAATAAGGTCATTAAATCTACAATACATCTCATCAATATTTTCATGAGGTTGCATCTTGAAAGATTCATACTTTGTAACTAGAATGGACTTCTTTTGTTCTCTAACATTCTCACTACCTTCATGAAATTCTCTCAGTTTATCCCAAATTTCCTTGGCTGACTTGCAACCTTTGACTCTAATAGATTCATTTGAGTCTAAAGCACAATATAACACATTCATGGCTTTTGCATTTAATGTGAGATGAGATCTATCCGCAGCAGTCAGTTTACTTCTTGTTTTTGGTTTAGATTTATGAGTATTTTCATCTATAAGAGAGGCATCATATGGACCTTCACTAATAATAAACCACAATTCAATATCAATAGATTGCAAAAAGATAATCATTCTTTCTTTCCAACTCACATAATTTGACCAATTAAACATAGGTGGTCTAATGACAGAATGTCCTTCAAAAAACATAACATTGTTGGTTGTCATCTTTACTCCAAAGCCGATTGAGCTTAATCTCTAGGAGACCAAGCTCTGATACCAATTGTAAAGCCTGAAAACAACCCTCTTTTCTAGACGACCACACAATGGAGCAGTTGATGAGAAAGCACAAGTGCTTGTGAGTAGAAGAGATAAATAATTTAAAGATCATAAACGTAACAATAAGTAAATAAAAAGGAAAGAATTGCAAACCAATTAACTACCCAACTCCTCTTGAGTTTGTAGATTAATTCAGACAAGCTACTTCAAGTTGATGAATTACAATCACTCTTGTGTACAAAGAAAGGTTCACCTCCTCCTTGCCCCGAACTCCACTCGGTCAAGTTAGGACGTTTTACTATCCCTCAAGACAACCCTGGCAGAGCTACACTCATGAAGTATTCACTCACAAATGAAAAGCTTACAAAGAACCTCACACCACTAAGACTACAAATCTTCCTTGAAGAGTATTTTCTCACTCAAATCTCTCTAGATCTTTTGTATCTTCAGTGTGCAAAAGTTGTTTGAAATATCTGACCAACCACTATTTATATAGGACCAAGAAAGTGCCTTATTAATGCTTCCAACGGATAGAAAGTAGCTGAACAGTCAACTATCCGTTGGCAGTGTCGGACGTCCGGTAGCCCTGTTTTATGCGTCCGACAGCAGGCAGAGAGTTTAAGACTTTTTCTTCAATTCTTTCGGACGTCCGATAGGCTGGTTTTCTGCGTCCGAAGGTATGATGTAAAACTGAAAATTTTTCTTCAATTCCTTAGGACGTCTGATAGGCTGGTTTTCTACGTCCGAAGATACTCAATGGTTGTCGAACGTCCGATGCAGTCTTTTTGAGCGTCCGACAGCTTCAGCATACTTTGTCTTCTTTCAATTGCACTTGTTCATGGAATCAAATAACTTCATAACTGAAAATATATCTTGAAGAAATATTAGTATCATCCATTTGTTTTGTAAACATCAAAAGATAGGGATCAAAATCAACAAATAACACATGATGCATGGATCTAGCGTGCAAAGAGCCTTAGGGTCTAATATTAGGCTAGCCTATTTCTACAATTCCTTACTAGCATTGAACTAGTATAGCAATAGATAAAAAGGCCATAACTAGCATTAAACTAGTGTGGTTGCCTTACTTCCATCATTTGTATAATAACAGTAAAGCAAATAAAGCATGAATTAAAACAAATTTCACATAAAGGTATGTAGGGTATATAACATTTAAACATGACATCTAGTTGCAAAATTTCTAAAAAGCAAATAAAAACACATAAGTACATAAACCACACAAGATGCACAAAACTTATCTATTTGGGGAATCTAACAATAATCTAAAGAGGAAAACGATAAGGAAATGAACTTATCTAATCTATCCATTATTTGAGGAGAAAAACTAACCTATTTACAACTCGTTCTAATAAAAGAAAATATAATATAGCCTATCTATTATGTTTTGGGAATTTAAGTACTCTCCAAATGATAAGAAATCTTAAATTAAGTAAATAAACATAAACATAAATAAATAAAGTCAAATATAAACAAAAGAAATAACAAAAGAGACATATAGAGCATATAAACACATAAGAATACATAAAAGCATGCATTTTGAGATTTCAAGAGGTTTAGGAGTATTTCTCCTTTGAAATGATGGACTAAAATACAATATCTCCTATCTAATATTCAAAATATTAACAAACAAGTAAAAGTACTACTATCTTTTTTTTAATAGGAATGCCATGCCTTAATTTATTTATAACTGAAAAAAATACAGCGATTTAGAGGGGGGGTCAAACCTGACCTCTGTTAAAGGAAAAGAAACATGCAATGATAAAAATAAATAAATAAATAAAACGCACATATGAAGGAATTCTAAAGACATAACAAATCAATCAAAAGAAATCATCCACATGAGAGTGCCCCACATTTGTGTGACTGCGAGTGAGCATGGGAATTTGGTTTAACATCTTGACGTGTTTGTATTGTTTTAACTTTTTTTGGAAAGCTATTTTCTCGATTTCTTTGAAATCACTTGGGTAAATTGCTCTTGAACTAGGTTCTGGTCTTGATCTTTGTCTTTTGGCGTTGTGAATCATCTTCTTCATCTTCATTTTTGTCGTCATTGCATGTTGTACTTGAACGAATAAAAAGCATTTGATGTGGTCGGGGAACCGTACCATGTGATTTCTCCTATTTAATCTCTTCGAACACATTTTTAAATTGTGGCACTGGATTTTGAGGCAAAGAGGATTTCGTTTCTGTTCTTGTACTTGTACTTGTACCCACAAGGGTTGGTTCTCCACCTGACACTATATCACGTGGGTCATGAACTTGGTCTATCTTTGAGAACGAACCGTTTGCCACAGCAGACGTAATTCCATTAACTTTCTGTGAGTAGTCGCTAGCCTCCATCGCCTTATCTTCCGATGCAGCCTCTGTGAATGTGCCATTAGCTGGATGAATGGAATGGTCATCGTTAGACCCCGAATCAGTGAATTTTCCCTCCTCGAGTGGATTCGAAGTCAAAATCTGCAATCTAGCATCTGCTCCATCCTCCAGCACCACAGCCACAGATGAATTAGGTGGAGGAGGCAGCGCCTCATCCACTGCCTGTGTTTCCACAACAGCAGGTTCCGGGATATTGCCCAGATCAGCAGCTTCCTTTCCTATGCTCCGTGCGTGATCCACGACAACAATCGGCTCCACGGGCGTGCCACCCTCCGCCATCAGATTTTACGCCACCTCCTTGTCTTGAACCTCAACCCACTGTTTGGAGCCAAAACCCACTCGAGGAGGATGCCCAGGTTCTTGCATCTCTCCTCCTGTCTTCTTTGTCCGCAATGACGGATTCAGTACATGGCATTCATCCACCATGTGTCCCTGGCGATAGCAATGAGAGCAGTATCTAGGGATGTTCTCTGGTACAAGCTCCTGCCAAAAGGCTTCGTGCGCACCATTTCCAATCCAGATTCTCGAAAGCCGCGGCTTCAATAAGTCAACTTCAACACAGACCCTTGCAACGCTTGGTCTAGAAATGGCCACAGTCGCTGCATCGATTACCAATGGAATGCCGAGCACTCCCACAACTTGATACAGTGCCTCCTTGTGGAACAAATGTAATGGAAGTTTAGGCAGTTGAAACCACATCGGAACTACTGACGGTTCTCGATCAACATGGAAGGCAGATGACCATTTGAAGACTCGCATAGGGGATCCATGGACATACCAGATCCCCTGAGACCAACATCTATGAAAATCAGCTTCATTATGAAAACGTAACAACACATGTCGTGGGTCGAGCAGCCCAACCGTGACTGCCTTACACAAATCCAGCTTGAGAAGAAAAGTTCTAATGTCCTCCAGTTTTGGCCGCCCCCTGGAGAACTTGACCACTAGCGCAAATCTATAAGGAGCCGCCAATTTGTCTAAGGCATCTTGTGAGAACAAAATAGCAGGTTCACCCTTGTGCATGGATGGAGTGGCCTGGACAGAAAGTGACGGTGTGGAAGATTTATCCGAGAATAGATCAGCCAATGACTTCCGAAGAAAGATTGGAGAATGTGGAACTTGCCCCCCAGTAGATGGTTGGAGGGCTGCCATGTCTGGGACCAAACAATGATGCTAGTTCTCAAAAGACATAATTCCCTTGAACTTAGTTTGAAAGAGGCAAATTATCAAACAACTGGTGGATTATAATAAACCTTTATTAATTTGCATTAGTTCTAAAGAAAGTAGCCCTAAAATTTTGCAGCAAATTAACTAAATCTAGTGCTCCAAACTCCAGATGTTCAAAATACAACAAATACCCAACCAAGAAGATTAATGAGATAAAAGAAAAAACTCTACCAAAATTTCTGCACCTAATCGTTGGAAGCAGAACTTTTCCAAGACCTGTGCAGAATGATCACTTGACAGTGGCGGATAAACAATCTTGTTGTAGAGGGAAGAACCGAGGATTTTGTTGAAATCCATCTCAATAGGTACGCCAGATTAATGGCTTTGTAGCTATCTTTATGGAAAGTCGACTAATATTAATTAGATCAAGAAAAATGGATTAGCTGTAAGTCTCAAGCCAAGAAAAATTAGATCAAGTTTACCCTTTGGTTACAGTGGATCAAGGCTACTATATATTACACAATTTTATAGATTGAAGTACTACTATCTTTGAAATACTTTAAAAAAGAATGAATCAAACCCACATTGCCATGTTAAACATGGAAAAGTACTTAAAACATTCAAAACGACAAGTAATTTCATTTTTGAAAAGTATAAGTAGCATTTAAGAAAAAGGAAACAATCCTCATTGAAAATTTGACAAACTATTAGGGACCTACTTGTAAAAATTAAAAATATTTTATAGTCAAAATATAATTTTGGAAAGGGTTAAGGGTTAAAATTAGACATGAACAAAGTTTAAAGATCAAAATGAAATTAAAATGGGGCCTAAAAGCAAAAGAGTCAAAGTTCTAGGGCTGTAGTAAATTAATTAAAATTTGAGGTCAAATTGCAAGTTTGTTTATTGACAAAGTAAGAAATATGGGTTTGGATCAAATCTACCCAGATCGACTAGGTTGACCGAACTCAAATCAAGAGACAAACAGGCCAGGTTACTTGTAATGTTTGGACCATGCCACTCTAGCCCAGAAGAAAATGCAATCAATCCAGCTTTAAACACCCAACAACTCTCAAGACCAAGCAGGATGTAGCTGTCATAGAAACACTGAAGCCCAAAATCTACAAAACTAGATTAAATAAAGACAAGTCCCAACTTAAAATAAACATAAGCCCATCCTTTTAACTTAAATTAAATACTTTCCAAAACATGTAAGTAATATCAATAGCCTTCGTTAAGCTTTAGCCAAAACAAAATTCAAGAGAAAGGAAAGAAAAAGAAGGAAAAAATAAAAGTTCAGATACCTTTCAAAAGAGAATCTGATACAGAAGGCAGGAAAAGATCAAACTCTATACTAGGAGAAATGAAATAGCATAAAGAACATTTCTCGAAGATAGTAGATGACTGCTTTTATGGAACCGGAGAGAGTACAAGAATAGCTGTGAAAGAATCAGGATATTTGACAGAATGAATAATCTTTTCTCTCCCTCTCTCTGCCCTTTTTATTCTCACGGCCTTCACCAACTTGATTACATGGAGTTGGTTATAACTACCTAACTACTACCCCAATGTGACCGCCTCTGCTAAACTTGCTCCCCACGTGATCGTAATCCAAAATTACAACATGGCTCCCCCTAAAGTATGGTAATTACATTTGCATGCCTATTCCTACGAATCAGATATTTGCATGCCTATTTCTACGTATCAGATGCTCCCTCTCGAGAAAGTCCTTGTCCTCAAGGACTAAAAGCAGGAAACCTCTGGTGCAAATCATACCAAAACTCCCACGTTGCATCCTCAGGGAAAGAGTTGCCCCATTGTACCAACACCCGAGTGGCAGCCTGATTTCCGCGCTTAACTAGTCTTCTATCCAAAATGGCAATTGGCTCCAGCAATAAGTGTCCGTGATCAGTGATCGACTCAGGTAGATGGGGTGTGACAGGGTGCTGACCTTCTTCTTCTTGAGCATTGAGACATGAAACGTCGAGTGGATCTTGGCTTGAGCAAGTAGTTGCAATCTATACGCCACCTTCCCTATACCTTCCAAAATAGGGAAAGGACCAAAGTATCTGGGGGACAGCTTCTGGCAGCTGGAAGACTTGAGAGAATGCTGTTTGTACGTCCGTAACTTCACATACACCAAGTCGGCTACCTGAAACTCCCTATCTGACCTGTGTTTATCGGCCACGTGCTTCATCCGGTGTTGAACAGTCTTGAGGTGATGCTTGAGGGTGTGCAGCGCCCTCTCCCTAGCAGCAAGGCTCCTGTCCACCGCATCCACTGTAGTTGAACCAGGTAAGTAGGGGGTATGCACAGGTGGTGCTTGACCAAAAATGGAGTAGTCTGGATGGCCGAATGAAAGTTAGTATTATACCAGTCCTCAGCCAAAGGCAACCATGGGTACCAAGCCTTGGGGTAGTCGCTTGTCACGCAGCAGAGATAATTCTCTAAACACCTATTCACCACTTCAGTTTGGCCGTCCGTCTGAGGATGATAAGAGCTAGAAAATTGCAGATGAATCTTTGAAGCTTGAAAAATTCCCTCCAAAATTGACTGAGAAAAATGGAGTCTCTGTCGCTCATGATAGTACCCGGCAGCCCATGTAACTTGAAGATGTGGTCTAGAAACGATTGAGCAACATCCAAGGCAGTGTAGGGATGTGAGAGCCCACAGAAATGAGCGTATTTGCTCAATCTATCCACCACCACCAATATGACCTGCTTGCCATGGGACTTAGGAAGACCCTCAATAAAATCCATTGAGATGTCAGACCAAATGTGCTCAGGTACTGGCAGGGATTGTAGTAAACCCGGATATGTAGAGAGGTTAGATTTGTGGCACTGGCAAGTGTCGCATGCGGTGACGAAATCATAGACGTCCTTGTACATATGCTTCCAGTAGAAGGTGCCCTTCAACTTTTCGTAAGTAACTAGGATACCAGAATGGCCTCCAAAGGGGCTGGAGTGCCATAGTTCGACCAGCTCCCTTCTTAGTGACGCTTCAGCTCCCATGACTAGCTTTCCTTTTCTTCGTAGCTGCTGCTGATCCCAGTTGTAATGTTTGTATTTTGAGACATTCCCCGAAGAAAGCTGCTGGATAATATCCTGAAGCTTAGGGTTATCCTTCCAAGACTGCTCTATCCTAGTCATGAGGGTGGTGGAGATCCCACTAATAGAATGAAAGGTTGCGGTTGGGTGTGGTTGTTTGGATAAGGCATCCGCTATGACATTGTCACTACCCTTCTTATATTACACCTCGTAGTCATATCCCATGAGTTTGGACAACCATTTCTGTTGGCTAGGAGTAGAGATTTTCTGATCCATCAGGTACTTGAGACTCTAATGATCTGTCTTGATAATGAAATGCCCCCCTAGCAAATATGGTCGCCATTTCTGCACAGCATTCACCACAGCCAACATCTCCTTCCCATACACTAACAGCCCTTGATGTTGAACTGCTAATGACTTGCTAAAAAATGCTATAGGTCTGCCCTGTTGGAGAAGAACTGCACCAATTCTAGTGTTAGAAGCATCCGTTTCTACCACAAAATCCCTTGAGAAATCTGGAAGAACCAACACAGGTGGTGCTGACATCGCTAACTTTAGCTGGTTGAAAGCTTTGGTTGCTCCTTCGTGCCAACAGAAAGCATTCTTCTTCAGTAGGTCAGTCAAGGGACGTGCCAATTTGCCATAATCTTTCATAAATCTGTGATAGTAACCAGTTAATCCCAAAAAGCCTCGTAACTCCTTGATATTTGCAGGCGCAAGCCATTACTGAATACAAGCAATCTTCTGAGGGTCTGCACTAACTCCTGTAGCTGAAATCAAGTGTCCCAAATACTTGATTTGGTGAGTGGCAAACGAGCATTTACTTCTCTTCACCTTAAGTTGATATTGGACCAAGGTGCCAAACACCAGTGCCAATGTTACAAGTGCTCACTTCCAGACTTACTGTAAATTAAAATGTCATCGAAAAATGCCAACAGAAACTTCCTCAAGAAGGGCTTGAAAATATCATTCATAAGTCTTTGAAATGTTGACGGGGCATTAGTTAACCCAAACGGCATTACCATAAATTCGTAATGACCATTATGGGTTCGAAATGCAATTTTAGTTATGTCGTCCGAATGCATTATGATTTGATGGTATCCTGATCTCAAGTCTAACTTGGTGAAAATAACAGCTCCAAACAACTCATCCAACAACTCTTCAATAAGTGGTACGGAAAATTTATCCTTTATAGTTGCCTTATTCAACTCCCTATAGTCCACACACATCCTCCATGTGCCGTCCTTTTTGTTTACTAAGACTACTGGGGATGAAAAAGGGCTATTGCTACACCTTATAATTCCACTACTCGGCATCTCCCTCACCAACTTCTCGATCTCTCCTTTCTGGAATGTTGGATATGGATAGGGTCTGACATTGATGGGTTGTATCCCCTCTTTAAGGAAAATTCTATGATCATGTGCTCTAGCAGGCGGTAAGTCAGTGGGTTCTTCAAACACCTCCTGGTATTTGAGCAAAATTAAGTCAAGTTGAGACTGGAAGTGAGTTACCTTTGTGTCCATTTCCACAGACAAGCAGCTCAGCTCCACCTCCGGTTCCCCCAATTGCTGTACCGAAATGAAGCATAACTGGGCTAACTCGATCTGTTCTAGCTTACTCAAAAATTTTTGCATCTGCTTCTTTAGAATCAGCTGGGTAGCTCGTGTTAATCTCAATTTTTAGGTTTTGATGATTACAAAATAAATGGATGCTACTAATCTTTCCTCAAAGATCTTTTTAGAATTGAAGCAAATCGGGTTCAAAGATTAAGCGCAATTGAAAGAGACAAAGATTGCTGAATCTGTCGGATGCACATAAAGACTGGATTGGACGTCCGACAATCATTGAGAAACTTCAGATGCATGAAGAACTTTATCACCGGACGTCCAAAAGAATTAAAACATTTGCCCTAAGTTCATTGATCTCGATCGGACATAAAACAACAGAGCACCGGACGTCCAATATTCTGCGCAACACTTCGGACGCAAAGCATTGGAGGTACCGGACGTTCGAAAGGATTGAAGAATTATTATCTGCTTTCGGATACAAATTATGAAGGCACCGAACATCCGAATGAGTTAAAGAAAATCTCTCTTGCTCACTGCCTACTGTCGGACGCAAGAAACAAGACTACCGGACGTCCGACACTACCAACAGCTTGTTGACTCTTCAACTGCCTTCTATCCGTTAGAAGCATTAATGGAGGAACTTTTTGGTCTAATATAAATAGAGCAAAATCAACCACTTCAAAACACTTTTGCACATTGAGACTACAGACGAAAAAAAACAATTTTAGTGAAAAATTCTCTTCAAAGAAAATTTGTACTCTTAGTTGTGTGAATCTCATATAAGCTTTTCTTGTGTAAGAAAATTACTTCAATAGTGTAGTTTTGTGAGGATTATTCAAGTGATAGTAAAACTTCCTAACTTGACCAAGTGTGGCTTGAGACAAGGAGAAAGTGATCATTCCTCTGTACACGAAGATTGGTTGTAATTGATCAATTAGAAGAATCTTGCTTTATAAAGTGATATTCAAACTTAAGAGGAGTTTGAAATTTGGTTTGCTACTCTATCTCTTTCATTTACTATATTGCAATATAAATTGTTCATCTTTTCTACTCATGAGCATTCATGCTTTCTCATTGATTGTTCCATTGTGTGGTCATTTAGAAAAAAAGGTAAATTTCATATTGAGCAAAAAGTGTCTCATAATTTGGTTAGTTTTTAATTTACCTAATTCACCCCCCTCTTAGGTTGTTTTTAATCCTTACAATTGGTATCAGAGTTTGGCCTCCTAGAGATTAAAATCAATCGACTTTGGAGTAAAAATGACAATCAATAATGCCATATTTTTTAAAAAACAATCTGTCACTAGACCCCCAATGTTCAATGGTTCCAATTATGTGAGTTGGAAAGAAAGAATGATTATTTTCATGCAATCTATTGATATTGAACTATAATTTATTGTTAATGAAGGTCCATATGATGTCTCTGTAATTGATGAAATCACTCATAGACCAAGACTAAAAATCAGAAATAAGTTGACTGGTGATAATAGAGCTCATCTCACTTTGAATGCCAAGGCTATGAATATGTTGTATAGTACTTTAGATTCAAATAAGTCTATTAGAGTCAAAGGTTGTAGGTCTATTAAAGAGATTTGGGATAAATTTAGAGAAATTCATGAAGGGAGTGAAAATGTGAGAGAACAAAAGAAATCTATTCTAGTCACCAAGTATGAATCATTCAAGATGGAATCTCATGAAAATATTGACAAAATATATTGTATATTCAATGATCTCATTAAGGATTTAGAAATGCTAGAAAAGGAATACTCCCTAGATGAGAAAAATAGAAAAATTTTGAATGTCTTGACTAAAGATTAGGAGAATAAGGTGACTGCCATTGAAGAGGCCAAAGATATAAATTCTATGCCTATTGAATCTCTCATTAATTATCTAACCTCTTATGAGCTGAAACTTAAGTCTAAAGTACAAGAGGAAGAGGATGCTAAAGTGAGGAGGAGTATTGCTCTAAAAGCTTCTCAAAATGAAGATGACTCGGCTTCCTTGGATGGAAAAGATGTTGAAGTTGATGACAATGACCTTGCTCTCATCATAAGGAGCTTTAAAAGAATCCTTAATAATAGGAGATTCAGAAGAGGAGAACCTAGCAATACATTTCCAAATCAGTTTAATAATGCAAGAAACAAAGGAAAACAAAAGACCAATAAAAAGTAAGGTGAAAATGCTTTGAGTGTGGCTAGTCTGGACACTAAATGAATGAGTGCCCAATGAAGAAAAAGAAAGAAGAAAAAGTTGAATGAACACCAAAGTTTAACAACTTTTAAATAACCTGAAATGATTGCAACTCGGATAGTGATATTGAAGAAGAAGAAGAATCTGCTCAAATGACTTTCATGGCCATTGATGATGATGAGGTAACTTCTTGCAACTCTCAATCTAACAATGATGAGGAATCTGATGACGATGTTAATTCCTTCATTGAAAGATTGCATAGCAGTTTGAAAGATTCTTATGCTAGAAACAAGGAACTAAAACAGAAAATCAATTTTCTCATTCAAGATAATGCTAGTCTTTTTCGACTGAACAAGAATCTGAAAGTTGAAAATGATAACTTAAATAAAGTTGAGACTGATCTACGGGTTGAACTTGATAAAAAAAAAAACAAAGATTTGTGAATTGTTCAAAAAAGAACAAGGTGGTTTGAAAAGAAGAATAGATGGTCTAAATGAGTTGTTTGAACACAAGAAACAAATCTGTTTTCAAAAGAATAAATCAAAACCTCACTTTGACATTTATAAGAAAACATTGAATTCTAATTTAAACGAATTTACCATTTATAAAAGAAGGCAAGTCAGATTTGTTAAAACTATTTATGTAAGCAATTCGCTGACTATGTGTAACTTTTGTTGCCAAGTTGGACACAAGAAGAATAATTGTTATGTAAGAAAGAATATGAGAAATGATATGAAATGCATGTGTCTCATGAAATGCATATGGATAGTTAGACATAATGCTAACTCTCAAGAACCCAAAAAGTACATGGGTACCAAATATCATCTTGTGAACTCTTGTTGTGAGGACTCGCAAATTTCTTGTATTTTTCTCAAAAATACCCTTTTATTTGAAAATTATTATTTATCAAAGCCCACTACCCAATTATTTCACAATAAGTGTAAGTAAACCTAGAAAATAAGGTTTTACGCTTCGGTTTCAAGTTTGGAGCAAAATTAGGGTTTTCGCGATTTTTCGCCGGATGAATTTTCGGTACAGAGTAAGGATTAAATTTGAGGATTGAAAGTGACTTTTAAGTGAGAAATAATATGTGATTGGTAGCAATGATATAAGGTTAGTGAATGGGAAGTAAAAACCCTAGTACGTGAGTTTTTAAGAAAAACGGTGCGAACCGGCGGGTCCCGCGCACTACCGATTGGACGCACCACTTGACCACTACTTTCTTACCCTACAAGTTCATTGATACTTGAGCAAAATATCTTCTTATATTACAGCTAAGGCTGACCAAAACTAGTGGCTAGAAAAGAAGGAAAAGAAAGAGAAAAAAAGAAAGGTGGTGGTGGC